TGCATTCATTTCGAAGAGAGGCTACTGATATCACTGTCTGGGAGATGAAAAGAGAAGCCTGTTCTTACGAAATTCTGAGCGAAAATAGTACAAAGGGAACAAAAGAATAAATAAATGAAATAAGTGAATAAAGGAGGAGAAAACACGCAAAGAAATTGAAATTAGTTTGCAACATGTGGTGCCCGCAGAAAATATTGAGGGGTTGGGGGGGGGGGGGGTGGGAGGGGAATGCCACTAGCATAACTTTTCAGCTGAGATGGCGTATTCAGTACGATTAAATCAAATAAGATATGAAACAGCTATAAATAAACAGTCAATTTGAGAGTTTACATTTGAGATTGTATTGTTTAATAATTCACTGGTGCACGTGATATTCTTTTTTGAATAGTTATCGAATAATGAATTTATCCAACATCATCTATATTTCATGGTGTGAAAAGGTATTAGGCAAAAAGAAACTTTACAAATGTCGAGAAGACATAAAAGATGGCTTCTTAAGGGCCAGGCATACTTCACGCGATTTCAGTCGCGAGCGATATGGCAATTCGCCAAAAGTCTTCAGATCCAACACTAGCAAACCGCTTATGCACAATGTGTATCAATTACGTGGATTGATAAAACGCCCCATCTTCTGTACATTTGAAATTTGCTTGCAATGAGTTATGCACATTTGGAGTATTACCAAATCGCGTCGCGACTGAAATCGCGTGAAGTATGCCTGGCCCTTTAGCAGTTCGAGCTTTAACTCCTTTATCGAACGCGATATACACGATATACGTTTCTCAAAAGCATGTATACACTTTTGATAGTTGTATCTCTCTTTCCACAAAGTTTTTTTGCTTAGTATCCTGTACAGTTTCGTACTGGTTTCATGTTAGTTTCACAATATAGTGCGATTCAGCGATAGATCTTGATTACTAGGAAATTACGGTAGGAACTTCAAGCATACAGCGTCATTGTAAGATGACAGTTGAAAATTTCCAAAAAATCTGGAAACCTGTGCAGCAGTGTTTTCGGACATAATGATTTCATTGAACATCTTTTCAAGAGTTTTTTGACCATTTTGTATAATAAAGTGCAAATTTTATACTCATAGCAGCGACTCAGTTTCATCAATTTTTTTAAAAGAAGAGAAAAAACTCTGTTGCGGTTCGGTTTGATATAACTCAGAAAAACCTTACGGTAAAGTGCAAATTTCGTATACATAATCAACGACTCAGTTTGACCCAAATAAGTACTCAGCTTGTTGAACATTCATTATGACCAAAATGTAGAGCCATTTATGGCTCAAAATCCACTTCAAATTCCTACCGTAATTTTATATTAACGAGAAGCGATAGGTAATTCGCTCCATACTGTAAATTTAAGTTGAAGCCTGATCTAATGCATGGTACTCACAGCTAAGCAAAAACTTTGTGGTAAGACGAGAGTTATCAACGATTTAAAAGTGTGTACACTTTTAAGATAGCTCGCATATTTCAGCTATAATGCAAAACATAGTCAGCAGACACTTCTTCTCTACAACTCAGTCAAATCAAAATTTTAGATTTAGACAGGTATTGCAAAACTATCAAGGAGAAACCGCTATGAGGCATCAGATCGACAGCAGCTATGCATCACGATATTTGGTTTTTATTGGCTTTTTCTGCTCTTTTGATCGATGCACCGCATATTGATTGCTCAGAGTTGAGAATGAGTTGTTATAAACATATAACAAATTGAATTGCTGATAAGAAGATCATACACATAAGACAAACTGGAATAAACTTATGTCAAAGGCCCTAGGTCGACTCGTGAGTCTTTCGCAAAAATCGTCCAAGGATCTAAAAGAAGCGACTCCGATTATGGAATAATAGTTTGTTATGAGTAGCAGATATCATATCTTACTATGTACATATTACCTATAATATTGTTAGAATTCATTTCGAATGGAAAAAAATAGTTGAAAAAGAAATGGGATTTTTTGTGAAAAAAACCAACTGTATAGATAAACAGCTCGTTCTTCGTCGGAAAAAGTAAGTCCTAAAACCATGTAAAAGAGTGGACTAGGTCTTAATAGATACTACAGCATCTTCAGCAATGGAATTTACACATCGTCTTGAGTAATTATTCATACTTGCCACTCTTTTCAAGCATCGTCAAAAATGCATAATGTTTGATCGAAACGAATTCGACACGGTTGAAAGAGACGATGGATTCTCAAAAATTTCGGTGCAACACCATTTATAATCACAAATTTGCCCCAATTGATAAACCAACACTCTTTTCAAAAAAAAACTGATCTAGTAATCAGATCGGCATGTGGCGAGTTTCCGAAAATGCAAAAAACGAAGTTTCTTGACATTTCCAAAGTGTTAGGAAGTCCCCTTTGACCCCAAACTATAAAAGTAAAAAACCCTCAACAAATGAAACGACTGAAAAAAGTCGTATTTATCGGGCACAAAGCGATATCCCCTTTGATTTTTGTCTCAAAAACGATATCCAGCTTGCTTACAAGCCACCTGTGCCGAACCCCTATCAGTTACTCTGCAAGGAGAGAGTTTCAAAAAATGCATTTTCCTCTCGTATTTTCGTATTTTATGAAACAAAGAGCAGGTGAGAATGCTTTGTGAAAAGACGACAGTGCAGCAACCGACGGCTATGATGGCACACACGGCATCGGCAATGTTTACAATAAAATCGTAGAAAGAAGAAGACGTCGTGTCGCACGGCAGCTCGGCAATAGTACGCCAGCTGTGACAGCATATGTGGCACGACAATGACGGCTGTTGAAAATGAGGAGAAGAAAGAAAAGGAGATGGTCACGGTGTGAATTTATCTGTAGTCAAGTAAGAGACAGCAGGCAAAATCTAAGCCCCATCCGATCAGAACCTAGTCTGAATGGCCTTAGGAAAGGGGCATTTGCGTTAACCCGGTCCTCCAATGTTATTTCTAAACGGAGATAATGGACCTGGAACCCACAAGAGTGCTGTCAAGCACGCCCACCCAAGCAAGCTCCGCCCACTAGGGTGCTGAAAATCGTCTGTGTCTTCAGGATAGTCTCCAAAAATCGGAGTTTTTGGGCGTTTTGTACATTTTGAGCTTCATAACTGTAATTGAGTCTTGAAAAGGTTTCAGAATGACAAATGTGGAAGGCGAAATTCTGGCTGGAGGCGCTTTTAGAGGCATTTGGACTAAACGTTTCTGAGAAGCAGCGAATTCTTTGAATAAAGGATATATCGACAATACACCCAGTGAAAAAACTAGGAAATAAAGTCGCCTACTCCCTCCATCAAGCCCGCCAAAGCAAGAAAATGATAGCCAAACCATCGTGAAAAGAAGGTAGAAATTCATCTTTTAGTGGAGCTACTATTATTCGTATTTCACATTCAACTGTGCTCATTTGAAATTCTAAAAAAATGCAAACGCTAAATTTCTAAACGAAAATTTAGAGCCATACTCCTTCATATATTTTACTCGAAAAAATTGTAAAGCCAAATCTCGGATGTAGTACTGCTATAAAAGGAAATGTCTGACTTTTATCGGGCTAGCGATGTAGATGATGATCGATAGCTCGTGTTCTACAAAGGAGAGAGACGGTGATCGATCAAAAACTTATTATGTTCCATTTGAAGTGGAAACAAAGGGCTTAAAAACACAATGCACATAATACTGAATTGAAAGATCTCTAACAATCGATCTATGGTGAAATGCACTGGTTCTGCAATGGCATTGCATTTCAAATAAAAATACAAGCGATATTTAACATTATGAAACAATATTATCTTCATGGTTCCATTACATGATGGCACACGCAGGAATTTTGATAAGAAAAAGAGTGCGTTAATTGAATCATCGAGCTAACTTACATTCTAATTGAAGTGGCGGGATTTGGACGCAGTGTGGAAGCACGACTCTTGCTAATGCAACAGTTCAAGTCCGATCGAAAAAGGTGGATTCTGAAGCGAGAAAATCGTTTCTCGCTTCAGAATCCACCTTTTTCGATCGGAAAAAAGGGGCGGTCCGCTAATCCCGCCTCCTTGACAAGTTTTGACGTGGTTATAACATTAGATCTGCAACATTCGCCATGTCAATACTTGTCAAGGAGGCGGGATTAGCGGACCGCCCCTTTTTTCTGAAGCGATTTTCTCGCTTCGGAATCGACATTTTTCGATCGGACTTGAACTGTTGCATCTGTCAGGAGCCGTGCTCCCGCAATGTGTCGTCAAAATCCCCCTACCCCCCTCCCCCCGGTTGACCTGGACATTGCCTTTAAGGGCTATTTATACGATTGCAACGCAAGTCTTGCACCAAAGCTTCTAAAAAAAAGCTGTTTAGAAATGATTAGGTGACTATTTCAATCCTTATAATAATTTTTTCGTCATTTATGATATAGTAATATTCTATTACATGATGTAGAGATTCATGTACAAACACAACCAAAATTCGAAAAAAGATGTACCAAAAATTGGAAGTTTTTCCAGATGATGATCAATATGAATTTGATCTAATCAAAAGGAGTAGTCTACAAATAAAGCGAAATCAAAAGTTTCTGGGCGATTTAGCACTTCAGGCGATCAAAAAAAGAAATACAAATTAAATGTTTGTCTTTCCCTGTTTGTATTGCCATGATTCAACGCTCATCCTTGCTCTGAGCATTGCAAGAAAGCCCATGAACTATTCCCTTTAACTGATATGATATCAGACGGGCTCAATCAACCTGAAAAATATTTTTTCAGAATTTTTGGTGCAAAATTACGTTCTAAGCAACAAGCCGAAAGCTCGGTATAGTGCCTCGCTCCAGTTCTCTAGCTCATTGATTGATGACTACTTCAGAATAAAGTTTTGTGAACATTGTAAATTATTCCAGTGAATCTGTTTCGTTTTCTCTGGTTTGGTTCCGAATTTGCCAATCAACAATAAAAAAGCATCATGCAAGGGCATAGCATTCCTGATTTCAAAGTGCTCAGCAATCCCATTTCCAAGAAGGTGCTGAATCTAGAAAACAAGCGAAAATTTACATGTCAAATTCTCTTCTTTCAACAAGTAACGATGCCATTAGAGGCAATGGTACAATAGTAAAAAAAGCAAGTTTTGATCAATGCATCTTCACTTGCGCCAATGGTTGGAATGGAGGTTAATCGTTCTTGCATGAAAAACTCAAGGGAACATAAGAATCGAAGAAATCACATTTTGTAGTTTTCTTGGAAAGTCGTAGCTGTCTATTTGCACAGAAATAACTCCAAGAAAGATAATGTGAAGGCACTTAGACTTTTTAGGAGCACCTTCGTAAGTGCAAGATTTGCATGGTAGATAGAAGCTGTTGGCAAGTGCAGCCATACGAGAGATGACAGCAATTTCGGAAAAAGTGTTTGCTGATCAAATGATACGATCAAATGTTTGTCAGATAGATCGACAATGTTTTCTAAGTCTTGTGATCAAATATGACAAAGGTCAGACTAGAATTAGCAGAACAAAACAAAAAAAGAGAAAATATCACAAAATCATGTCAACAAAAAACAATTTAGTTCAATAATCCGCTTATCAAAAATCACAGCAAAAAAGACTCAACAGTTGTTCAAGATTATCAGGACTTCGCGATCCTGTGGGCATATCAATTTTCATGTCCGAAGTGACGTTGTAAGTCTATAATGACTAATTCTTCAGGTATGAGTGAAGAAAGATATGCTTTTTGAATAATTCTGACATTTTGGCAGCTAGGCATTCATTCTAAGCTTCTTAATGAAAGAAATGAGACAGCCAAGGAAAAAGACAGTGATTATTTTGTAGCTAAGACTTTAGGAACTCTATACCAAAAACCTAATGTGTTCATATTTCAATGACAAGCAATGTTTACATATACTCTTGAGATACTCAAAACCATAAGGTTTTGAGGCTTTCCGTCCTTACGATTTCGGGAAGAGTTTATGGATTGTTTTACCTCAAGAACAGGAACGAAACGGTGTTTAGTAAATTCTCTACTTATTATTATTGTAATAACATAACCTCGAGTAGTCGCAGATATGCAAAAGCAGCTCGAGACTTAGGCCCCGGACAAACTTCACGCAACTCAATCATCGCGATCTAATCGCCAAGATTTCCATTCATTTTCATTTCACATTTAAAAATCTCGGGCTGGAAAAGTATCACAACCGAATGCAAGGTATCGGCATGAATTGATGTTGTAACAGTTGTCTCGTCGCGGCGACGACAAAATCGCGTGAAGTCTGCCCGGGGCCTTACGAAAAAATGCCCTGGTTTCAAAACTGAAAGCTCTAACCCTAAGGGCTTGGGAATGGCCTGGAAAAAAGGAAAATATGAGTTGCATTATAGAGTTCCAACAAAAACATTCATCACATGAAAAATTAGGAAAAACTGCAAGTGACAGAACATACAGTGAACATTCATTCTTTCCCAAACATTTACTATGCCTACCTAAAACCTCATAAATTGTAGGCTACCTTTACGCTCGAGATAAAACTATAGCAACTCTAACCTTGAAGGTAAAACCGGAGCAGCCGCGAAAATAACAATAACCGGTCACTATTCGATGTCGAGTGCTCTCGATCGTAATTCTACCTCCAGGGCACCTTCGTGCCTGGCGGTTGTCTAACCAGCTGCAAAAGCACTGGATTCTACAATTCGAAGGCAAACAACAAATCGTAGCGCATAAACTGCTCAACACGGTCCGGTAGGAATCTAACAACATATCGGACTATATAGTCTGGTAAGATCACGATCAATACAATGCAACTGCGGTGCAGACAGCATTTGCGCATAAAAAATGGTCCTAGAACGCATATTTTTAGGTTTTGCGCCAGAATAACCAGCTTTTTATGCGCAAATGTTGTTAGCAACGCAAAAATATCAAATCTACTAGACTGCTTGCTTATATGAGCAATCGGTCTATATCAGTGGCGTACCCAGGATTTCGTTCGGGGGAGGGGGGGGGGGGACAAAAAATATTTTTCTGGCGAAGGAGTTAGCCACGCACCCAAAAAATTGTTTTGGTTTGCCTTCTAAAATTTTCGCGGGCCCTTAAGAACGAAAAAATCTTTTATAAGACTAAATCGAATTTTTAGAAAATTTCAAAAATTACTTTATTTTACAAGTAAAAACAAGTCAGTTGCACAATTTTATACCACTGATCTATATATCAAATAGATTTCACGGTCAGTAAAGTGCAATAACGGTGTAGACAGCACTTGCGCGTGAAAAATGGTCATGAAACGCATATTTTTAGGTCTTTCACCTCAATAACCAGTTTTTACGAGCAAATGCTATCGGCAACGCAAAAACACTAAATCTACTAGAATGCACCGGACATGAGCAATCGGATGTAACCTAGTGGATTCACGATCAGTATAGTGCAACAACGGTGCAGACAGCATTTCAGCGTAAGAAATGGCCATAAAAGGCACACTTTTGGGTCCCGCGCCTTCACAGGCAGCTTTTAATGCGCAAACTACTTTAAACTTGAAATCTACTATACTGTATCTTTACGAGCAATCGGTCTATACAGTCTAGTAGATTCACGGTCATTATAGTGCAACTGCGGTTCAGACAACACTGCGCGTAAAAAAATGGTCATGAAACGCACACTTTTAGGTTTTGCACTCCAATAACCAGTTTTTCATGCGTAAATGCTGTCGGCAACGCAAAATTTCTATTTTGGTATCAGATCTACTAGACTGTACCTTATATGAGCAATTGGTCTATGTCTTGTAGAATATACTGCGACAGGGGTGAGACAGCATTTGCGCGTGAACAATCGTCAAAGAGCGCATATTTCAGGTTTTACGCCTCACAATCAATTTTTTACGCGCAAATGCTGTTGGCAAATCAGATATACTGACTATAGTTCACATGACCAATACCCAAGGGTTAATTATAGACTAAGTGACCAGTTGTGTGGTTAGCGTTATCAGTATGGATAAACGCGACACTCTCGCTCATCAGAGGTGAATAAGCCAGCAGCGAACGTTTACAGCAACGCTCTTTCCTTATCAGTCCCCTTGTGCGGGCTTTCACTTGATAAAGCGCTATATTTGGTCAAGGCTTTCGCAGCGCTTTGCAGGATTTCGTAGGTGGACAACAGTACAAGAGATTACTATAACTTGTGATCGTTCAAAATTGCAGAAAAAAATCAAAAAATCAAATTTTCTACTGTGACCACGAAAGTTATGGCGCGTTTCAACGAAATGAATGTGAATCAAATGTTGCAAGAACATTGACGAAAGCAAAGTGAATCAGCGAATTTGCTGGCTGATACGCATCATTTCAAGTCAATCTCTAATTGATTTGACTTGAAGATATCAAGAGAGCGCCATTCCTCACATACCAAGGTACTCCGGTGTTGCATTTGCTGCTTCAGTTTTCTTCTTTCCTTTACTTACAGAAATTTCCGGGGCTCTTCTGATGCAAGAGGCCATAGGATGATAGCAGCTGCGTATTTTTGAAAGTTATGAGTTATGAAAATGTGCAAGCGACTGTTTATAATTGTAAACAATTACTATCATTTTTGAAAACTTACAAAATTCAGTCTAGCCCGGCACGGCCCTTTTCTGAAATTTCGGAGTTATGGGCCGCATTCAGGAAGCATGTCAAAAAATTCCTCGGAGTGCATGGCTGACGCCACACACCTCCTCCATCAGAAAATTTTTTTATCGCCCCCTCCCCCATCCCTCGAACGGAAATCCTAAATACGCCACTGGATGATAGTAGTAGCAGCAGCTCAAAAATTACGGAATTACTGAGTTGTGAATATATTCTACCCAATGTATTGATTGTATCACTTGATTTAAGCTCAGTTACTGAAATGTCGCTTCCTGAATGAGTCATGGTAATTTCTCCCTTGACACTTTCCGGCTTATGGGAACGGCTAATCCAAAAAATGTGACTGCTTCGCTTGCCTATCAATAATCGAATAAACCTTGATTAGTAACAATTTTTCTACAATTTTTAATAATGATTGAAAGCTCAGTAGCCCAGAAGAAAAGTAGAACATCACTATTTACACATAGACCTGCGACCGCACAAAAAGGTCCTTTGCCAGATTTTGATGCAATTATGGGTCGTGCAATCACACTTTACTGTGTTAGCAAGTAAGTATGATTGCACGATATGCTTCTCACGATACCTTAGCCTAGTGTGTTTTGTCGCAAAAAAATTTTTTTAAAGAAATTTGATTCGCAAGATAACAAGCATTAGTGACGGCCCAAAAAATATCCGGAAGGAGAGGGCAAGAATATTTTTTCTTGAGTAGGATCATGGCGATAGCCACGCTTTTCAGGAAAATTTGTGTTTGTGATGCTTTCTATAATTTTTGCGGTCCTGAAATACGCCGGAAATTTGTCCATCAACCAATTTAGATCTGTAAAAATTTTTAAAAATCAGTACGGCTATTTACAAGTAAAAACAAATCACTCGCACAATTTTATAGCTCACTTTCGAACATCTCGCGATCTTTCGGAGAAAGGAGGAGGAACCAAGCCTCTTCATGAGTTCAGTAGAAACATACGGCTCGGCCATACTTCGCTCAGAAGTGCCCAGATTTATCTAATATCTTTATCGTGTGAGAAAAGATAAGAGAACGTGAAAAGAGGTTAGAAAAATCTGAGCGCTTTTGGACGCTTTTGAGCGAAGTTTGGCCGGGGCCACTCACATTCGCTTTCTTATTTTATTGTACTACTTTCAACTATCTTACAATTCCTTTGTCTCAATCTACGGAAAAAAATTAGGAAGCCTAGTTTTAGTTGTATGTTGTGCAACTGCACAAGTTTCCACAAAAAGTCTACTGGACTACGTTCGCCCCCTCTGTACCGTGAGAGTTGAGCTCTGCGCCGTTCCAGGTGCAAACAGCTCGGGATGACCACAGTGTTTGAGAAGAAGGTTTGCCGACGAGGGCCGATTTGTCCAGCGGCTCTTTTGCTACAAACGCAAATGATGGGAGAAGGACAGCCGAGCGTTATGCAACGTAAACATCTCAGTCGCGATGGGCACGCTCGCGGCGGCGGTGGACAACGGGATTACGCGCGTACGCAGACGCGCATGAGCGGTACTATTCCGACCCGGTCTATTCTGGAACACACAAACACACTCTACTCGCTTTTGGGTGCAGCGCTAGAAATAACTGTGTAATTGACCT